ATTCCTTCGATTCCAAAAACTAATAAGGTCATAACATGAAAAAACTACGTCGATCGCCACCAAGTCAGTCAAAATCGGTTGATTCGTCCGTGAGTTATTGTTGACGAAAGAAAACCAAAAAAAGTGTTTTTTCAGAATTACTTCGAAATTCCGAGTTCAATCAATCTAAACTTAAAGATTCTTTATGAGGCTCAAAAAACTGCGTCGAATGCCGCCAACCGCGTGAAAATCGGTTTATTCATTCAAAAGTTATTGTGGTTTGAAAATTTTAAAAATCGCGTTTTATTAAACTCCTACCAGACTTTTAAGTTCGGAGAGCTCAAAATGATACGAAGATCATATTTCCAACTTTTAAGAGCTAAAAAACGTAATAAGTGCATGTGAGCGCTTAAGTATGGATTTAGCGGGGAGTTGGAGGAATGGCCTTTAGGGTCAACCGTTTTTTCAATTTTTTTTGTTTACATAATTGCATTTTTTTGCGAATTTTCGAAATTTCTATTGTTTTTTTTAGCTATTTATATGAATTTTGTAGATTTGAAAAGCTTAATTAATTCTAGATTCGGGTTGAGAGCATCGAAATGCGTAACTCTATATAGATTTAGTTAAATGTAGAAACCACTTTTTTCTTGTGTGCCGTCGTGATTTATTAGGTTTAATAAGAAAAAAAAAGTATTTAATATATTTCGCTTAGCAATAATTCTGGAATCTCATACTTCACAAAGGTCCAAAAAAACAATTTTGAATATTCTGAAGGGTGCCTAACCATTGATGAGACGTTACCATACTATGCTAATAGCATTAATATATTTCATAGTTGATAAATACCGTAAATAATTTGTTTCAGGAAAAAAAAAGGTCTTGGATCAGAAAAAAGAAACAGAGTTGTCAGAAGATGATGCAGCTTTGTTAATTCAAAAAAGTAAGTTTTTTTTTATATTTAGAGTCGGTTTGAACTGCTATAGTCATATCACTGACTTTAATTGTTGGGAGTTGTACGATGGGGACTTGTGGGTTGTGATAATCTCAACCTACGAGGCAAGTGTAAAATCTCAATCAAGATGGTTTATAAGACCAATGGTGCGCCTTTGACCACTCGGCCTATGTCACCGGTTAAAAAAGCAAGTTATTGAAAAAGTAGAATTTGTTTCAAGAAAAACAAATTTCCGTTTAATCATCCATTATATTATCGACCATCTTCATTTTCCTATTTTTTATCCATACGCCGAAGTTGAGAAGTAGTTTATGAATTGTATCAACATCGTTTCAAATCGTTAGATTTCAAACAATTATAGTATAGTTTAACCCTTTAGAGTTTGACCTTAAAACCCTACTCTTGGGTCTTACTATGGATTTACGCTCTCCCCACTACTCTCACGCGAAGACGTTTCAGGATCCTCTGACTCTAAAGGGTTAACGGTAGACTCTCTTCAATATCGAGTGTCTCTTGTCACGCGTCTCTCATCTAGGACTGTAAGCACCTGGGGTAAACTCCATTATTATCTAACTGATTTAAAACAGCTATCAGATTTTTAATGTCCCGCTACGAGAATTGAAAATTTTTAAAAATCGGGAAGTTATTGGTTTCACCCCGTTTTTCGAAAATCGAGTTTTCATCACATCTTGACGTTTCAAAATCCTAGGAAGCTTGTGTATGTTTGTGTGTGTGTGTGTGTGTGTGTGTGTGTGTGTGTGTGTGTGTGTGTGTGTGTGTGTGTTTATTTTTTTTTTTTAAAGAAACGAAAAAAATCTTCCATAAGACACCGCTATCATTAAAAGAGGATGGTCGGTAATGTGGGATTTTCACCTACTCAAAAAACTCCTCTCTTTTTCTCCGTAGATGGTACGGAGACGACTGGATCTTTTTTATAATAAGTAATTTATAAAATAAGTGATTAATAATTATTATTCATACAAATAATAATTATATTAAACTATATATGCCATGTTAAATAATTGTTTTAAATGTTTTACGACAAGCCGAATAGCTAACCTAGCCGAAAGTAATACTAGATATATTGTTTTGACAGTAGTGTTAAATAATTAATTTATTTCAAGGTATATTTTTATTAATTTATTGTCTGGATGTAAAGTTTTGTTGTACAAGATTTTATTTTAATTTTATATTATGTATGTCTGTTATTAGATACTTGTTTTTATAACAAGTTACTGGAAGAGTTTGGTGAACATGCATATCATAATAAAAAGGAGTTGTCTAGGTTACCTAAAAAACTAGCGTCGATGAATAACCGAAAAATTTTTTTTATTGGAATGTAAAAGAAAAGGGATTTTCCTGAAACATATACAAAATAATGTGAAGTCGGTGTTTTATTCACTGTTAGAGGATCATCCGTATGAGTATTTGATAGATAAATATGGAACTTCAAACTATCGAGACTTCAGCGAAAGATTGAACTATGAAGGTATTAAATTTCCTATTAAGCTTCGTGATATTCCAAAATTCAAGAAGATGAACAATTTAAACATTAATGTGTACGGTATTGAATCAGAATTTACGGGGAAAAAGACTGAAAAAAGTACTATCATCTCATTGTATTTAAGTAATTATACATCTGAGATAAGAACAATTCACCTATTAATGGTGCAAGAAAGTGTGACTTATTCCGATAATCTAAAAAATTTTGAACAAGTGTTTTACTTTTCTTAGATTAGAAATCTTTCTAGATTAACCCTTTAATGTTCTGGAAACGCAATGAATCTCAGTGTGAGTTGTTAGGGGAGAGAGCCAATCATAGTCCGTTATGCGGTTGTGTGAAAGACAGTTTAGTTGTAGTAGTGTGTCCATGCGTCCCTTTCTACTACTTTTCTGACCCACTCTCCAGGAAAAAGACTATAGCTTTCTCGTTTAAAGAAAAAGACATATGACTGGAATTAAGAGTGGGGATTTAAGGCCGAACATTAAAGGGTTAATAAAAAACCAAATATCTCTAGATAAAACCAAGTTATACTTCTGTACTCTATTTTCGATTATGATTATGGGTTGCCCAAGTAGTTTGGAATGAGTTTAATATTAACTCGCTTGGAGAGTACTCAGATCTACATGTAAAGACAGATGTCTTTCTCTTGGCTGATGTTTTTGAAAATTTTAGACTCAGTTATTTTAGAACATACAATCTAGATGCCCTACATTTTTATATAGCGCCAGGTCTTTTAAACTCAGCAATACTTGAGCATACTGGTGCGGAACTTGAACTACTGACAGATCTTGAGATGCTTCTTTTTATTGAAAAGGGTATCCGTGGCAAGGTTTTAATGTGTGTGAATAGACATGCTCAAGCTAACAACCGGTACGTTTCTCACGATTTTGATCTAAGCAAGCCTGGAACATACCTGATGTACTATGATGTAAATAATTTGTATGATGCTGGGATGAGTATATCATTGCCAAAGGGTAAATTCGAATGGGTTGAAGACGTTGATATTTTTAATTTTTTCATTGATGATAAAAGTACAGCCTACATTCTTAAAATAGACCTATACTATCCAGAGAAATTACATGATCTACATGAAGATTTAGCTCTCTGCCCTGAGTACGAACATAGTACTATTTACCACCCGGCAGCAAACAACAGAAACTTACGACAATTCTGTGTGACAAATCACATTATGCAATTCACGATAAGAATTTAAATAGTATTTTAGACTAGGGATGAAACAAAACGATTTCAGACCAGAGTGAAGTTGCCTGCCCGAGCGAAGCGAGGGCTGGCATCACTCTGTCTGAAATCGTGTTTCATCCCGCGTCACGCATTATATTTTTTATATAAGTTGCATTAAAAATGCTAGTTTCAATGTCTGGAGCCAACCAGAACTAAATAGTTTCAAACGAATAGCGAAATAAATTCAAGAAAGTAATGGTTTATTTTTTATAAAACATTATTCGTAACTTGAATAGTTTTTTTTTGTCATATTTATGCTTAGTATCAGAATTATAATATGTCAGTACAGTTAACGGTTAGAATGACAATTATAAAGGTATAAAATAAACAAACGATTGATAGGATTGAAAATAAAGCTACAACTTCATTTCCCGGGCAGGAAACCATCATTTTATGCCCGCCAGGAAGAAAATGATTGATTCCTGCCCGGCAACAGTCACATTGGTCTGAAATTGACTAGTTTCGGTTGGCTCAACAGGCATTGAAACTCGCATTTTCAATGCAGGTTATATGAAAACAATATTTAGACTGAGGCTTAAAACTTTAAAAAATACATCGAGTCCTGAAATTTGAGCAATCCGATTGGCTCAAGTTCTATATTTATAAAAATACTGATTGCCGAAAACTAGCTAAAAATGAGTTTGAAAAAATCTTTCACAATTGTTTAAACTCATGAATAATGCGGTTTTCGGCAAAACGATAAAAGATGTTTGAAGGTACAAAGATGTGGAGCTAAGAACAAAGTGGCTTCATAGATACACGTCTCACAAAAATTAAGGAAGCAACAAAAAAGTCCAAATTTTTGGGGGTTTTTTAACAGACTGTAACTTGAAGAAAAATGCTCGTACAGCAAATAAAAAAAAAACCAATTGTAGCTCCAAGTATCTAGTTTTTGGATCTGAGGTAGAAGGTCATCAAATACTACAGTGAATCCAGGAACGAATGTTGTTCAAAGGCCCATGGGGGAGCGAGCTCAAATACCCAGGTCGTGTTTCACCTGTACTTTTCCTTTGGGTCAGTCGACTCAATTATACCCGGGTCTTAATCAACAAAGGTCCGCGGGAATGACTCAGATACCCAGGTCAACCGTAATGCCTGCACCTATGGGGGAGTCAACACAGTTAAACCCGGGTCTTAATCAACAAAGATCCGCGGTAACCACACAAACAGTCCAAAATAATCAACGAGTGTCCATCGGCGAGGTTCCCGGCACGAGTGGTACGGCTTCAGTCGTAGTTAGAAGTAATACTATTACACCGGCACCGAGTAGTTCTTCGAGATCTTTCCTTCGAGGAGAAGAAGCTGTCGATTAAGAAAATCGCATCAGGAATTACATGGATCGAGATCTCTTTCGGCTACAACGTCAACTACGAGGAGAATCTCGACAGGTCGAAGAAGCAAGGGGACAACGAGAAATACTTGAACTTGCCCTACTCGAACAGGCACGTCGGGAACATGCTCAACGTGAACAAGAGCTAGAAGAACGGCTACGTCGAGAACTAAACCATCGAGAATAACTTGAGGAAGAAATACGTCAACTACGCGAACGTCTCGCACGGGAAATTCATACAAGAACAGGTCGTGCGGGAGTTGATTCGAGTTCACCTGTATTCCAAGACGGGGAAGATCAGGAACGCCAACCAGGTCCTCCAGATTATCTCCCGGCTCGTCGATTAACATCAGGACAGTACGCTGCTTTTCGACAGTATCAACCAGCAGAAACACAAACTTCGAATGTGCCTGTACAACATGTGGGCCAACTTTACTACTTGAGTCACTTACGTGGACCTAGGCCATGCTTCAACTGCGGGAAACAGGGTCACACATTCGAATGGTGTCTAGGTCCTAGGAAGCTAGTTTGTACTATCTGCTATAAAACAGGTCATGTAAGACAAACTTGTCCTTGGCAGCTCAAGTAAATTTCTAACCTCAGAGTTGGTAAACCCTGGGTCAATTTTACAACATCAAAAAAATAGTCAGTGGTAGCTCGTAGTTTTCCACGTGCTTACCAAGAGAAACTGAAGACTGAGGAAACGATTTACATCATAGAAAGACATTTGAATACCAATCTGGGTTTATCCCTGAAAAGAGATTTGGGATTCATACCCATAAAAATCTTTTCTCGTGGGCCAGATTCGGTGAATGATTGTGAATTGTTAATTTTTGTTACTGATGAAAATATACGTTGTTAAGAAAATAGAAAAAAAAATATAAAGATAAGCTGGAGTTTAAGTTGTAATGATTTAGTCGCATTCTTATAAATGTAGTGATGACTTTCCTGAGCATGTCATACTCAGCGAACCAGGGTTTTTTAGTTTCCTTGAAGATGTAGCTAAAATAATGTACTCCTTTCTCTTTCCCAACTTCCTTGAGGAACTCAACTGTGCGGTTGATGGCCTTTTCTTTGCTGTTAGTCGCTAGATCATTGTAGGGGATTGGAGTAAAAGTTCGTCTTGAGTTGGTGATCGCTTCTTTAGCTAGTCTATCTGCCTCTTCGTTACCGGGAATACCAGAATGTCCAGGGATCCACATTAAGTGGACTTGTAGTCCGCGTTGTTGCGCCTCGTGGAGTCTGGCTGCAATTTTGTATGGCAGGTATGATTTGGGCTTTTTATCTTGTAAGTTGAGAAGGGCTTGAAGCGCGTTTTTGGAGTCCGTGTAGATTATTGTTTTTTTCTCTGCGGTTTCGAGTGCAAGCTCGATTGCCTTGAGAATGGCTAGGGATTCTGCTGTTGTTGTTGAAGCTTGGCCGTTGATTTTCTGTGTCAGATGAATGTCCAGAGTGGCATTGTAAACTGCGAGTCCTATGTATGGTTCGGTGGGGCTTTTGGATGCGTCTGTGTAAACCTGTGTGAAATCGTGTAGTTTTTCACTTCACAAATATAAATAATGCTGTGAAGCGGGAAAGAATAGGAGTTACGGATAATTATTACGTGAAGCGTTCCAACATTCACGTAACAGGATATTTTGGTAGGAAAGGATTGAGAAAGGATTGTGGAGAGGATCATTTTAATGTGAGTTTATAGAATATGCGAGAAAAAATTATTAGATAGCTCGGACTGGGATTCGAATCCAGAACCTTCCGAAGACATGTCGGCTACTCTACCATTTGAGCTATCCGGTCTATACTAAATTTCCTTTCACCTATTCTATATACATTAAGCCACACCGTTCATCTTACGGCTAGCATTTTTTAACAAATATAAATAATGCTGTGAAGCGGGAAAGAATAGGAGTTACGGATAATTGTTACGTGAAGCGTTCCAACATGGGGTACATGTACTGCGGTTGTGTTTTAGCTTGGTAGATAATGTCCTGGTATGGTTTATCGTCTTTTAAGGAGCTAATTGCTGGGAATCTTTTTAGAATGAACTGCTTGGCTTTATTTTGGGTTATACTACCCTTCAATTTTGTCAGGGTTTGAATGACCGGATTATCGGAGACACTTATAGATCTTAGTATGTAGCGATCGGAGAGATCTTTAAGTCTGATTTTTAGAGAGATTTCATTTTCCTCTGCCATCATTGAGTTGATTGGGGTCGATATCCGAAGGCCCATGCATGTTCTGATGGCTTTATTTTGGATTTTTTCCAGTTTTTTGAATGATTTACTGGAGGTTGTGTTCATTATGTGAGATCCGTACTCGATTTTTGTCCTGATCAGTGCCCTGTAGATATTTAGAAGGGTTGCTGGAGCCGCTCCCCATTTTGTTCCACACATAGCTTTAATGAGGGGGTTGACTTTGTTGATTCTTGAGATGAGGTTATTGTAGTGTTCGTCGAATGTTAGTTTCTGGTCCAGTGTCATACCAAGGAATTTAGCAGATGTAGATGGCCTGATATGTATGTTCTTAATTGCAAAGACTATGTCCTGGGGGTTAAAGTCGATGAGTGAGAAAACTACTATTTTTGTTTTTTCGGGAGAGAGATCCAAGTCCAGACTTTCGAGGTATGCGTTGTAGCTGTCTAGGGAGGCTTGTAAAGCGTCGACTGCATATTGTAAATTTTTGTTCCTACATCTTATAGCTTTGTCGTCAGCAAATTCTGCTATGCTGCTGGAAGAGTGTATATGTTTGTTACCATCTGCCGTGTAGAGAGTGAACAGCAGGGGAGCTGATACCAGTCCTTGACCCGCTCCGGAGTTTACCTCCTGCGGTTCTGTTAGGCCGCTATTGGTCACAAAGTATAGTTTGCGCTTCTTGATTAGAAAGTAGAAGAAGGAGCAGTAGGAAGTGGGAATATCGAGGTCTAGGATAATTTGTAGTAACTTGTCCGGATTGACATGGTCGAAGGCCCCTCTGATGTCAAGAAATACCGTTATAGTATACTCACCTTGGGCGAACCCGGTGTAAATTTCTCCAGTGACTACTGATAAATTATCTGCAGTGCTTTTGCCTGCTCTAAATCCATATTGGGTGTTGGGGAGCTTGGAGTTGTTCTCTAGCCACCACGTGGTTCTGTCTACCAAAATTCTTTCCATTATTTTGAGAAAACAGGGTGCCAGGGTGATGGGCCTAAATTTGTTTGTGTCTCCTTTGAGGAGTAAATAGACTAAGTGTTCTGTCCAGGAAGTGGGATATTTTTTGAGTCGGAGAAAGTTGTTGTAACAGTCCAGGATTAGTTTTCTCAGAGCTTCAGGGAGACATTTGATTATGTCGTAGGTGATTTCCCTGATTAAAAAAAGTATTGAGAACAATAGAAACGGAATTGGAAAGAATTCGATTTATTATGAAAGTAATTCTTTTCAATTCCGTTCCCATTGTTCTCAATACTTTTTTTAAACAGGGTTGATCAAGTCCTGGGCTTGTTCCTAATTTACTTCGCCGTATGGCGGAGTTTAGTTCTGTTAAAGAAATTTCGTAGTCTGGAAAATTGGGTGCTGATGGTTGGGGAGCTTCGGAGGTGTCTTGATGGAATAGCTCCTGTGCTATTGAGCTGTCTGAGTTTATTCGGCTTTCCTGGTAGTAGCTTTCAATGGATTCGAGCTTTTTTTGTTCAACTGAGAGCTCTTGTCTCGGGAGTGTGTACGGAGTGGATAATCTTTTATTTTTGAAGGCTTGAAATTTTTTCCAGACCATGGCTATGGGGGTAGTGCTGTTGAGAGACGCAGTATATTCCCGCCAAGCATTTTGTTTGGCTTTCTGGAATGTTTTCTTCGTTAACGCGCTTATTTTGTTGTAGTTTTCATAGCTCTCCACCGTTAATGTACGCTTCATGAATTGGAGAGCTGACTTTCTTTCTTCCAGGGCTTTGGAGCATTCTTCGTTCCACCACGGGGCAGGAGTACGAATTTTTCTAGTCTTGGGGTTATTTTTTGGAGATGACGTGTGTTGATTGGCACTGGCACTTTCCTTCCTAGAGTCTCTTGTTTTCGTCACCGCTGAGAGGGAGTCTTTGATGATGGTGATTATTTCTTCGTAGGTCGGTGAGACATTCAGATTGTCTTCAGTGATGATGGCTTCAACTTTCTGGGTGAGGATATCATCAAACGTTTCCCAGCATATTTTAGAGAGGTTTAGTTTATGGGTAAAAAATTGGTATGTGTCTAGGGCTACGCCCATGGAGATGTGAATTTGGTAGTGATCGCTTCTTCCGGGGTCTTCAGAGACGTTCCAGTTAATGTAGCTTAGTAGTTCAGGTGAAACAATGGTGAGGTCTACTGCAGATTTGTTTGTAGTAGGGTTTGTTACCCTTGTGGGGGATCCGTCATTCAGAATGCAAAGGTCTGCCTCGGTAATAGTTTCGAGGAGTTCTTTGCCTTGAGCCGAGTTCTTGTAGCTTCCTCAGGAAGTGTGGTGGATGTTAAAGTCGCCCGCTAGAAGAAATGAGCTATTATTTGGTCGATCTAGTAGTTTTTCCCAGGAATTTTTTTTGATTCTTTGGTGAGTAGAGACATAGATGGTTGCTATTATGATGGGACCCTGGTCCGTCTTTATTTTGATGGCTAGAGTATCGATTTGATTTTCGAGTTCAAAGAAGACGTTAATAATTTCGAATGTTAAGTTGGTTTTAATAGCGATGGCAATACCTCCGCCGGCGCCATCTTGTCGGTCTTTCCTTACTATGTTGTAGTTGTTGATGTAGAATGGTTCATCTGGTTTAAGCCATGTCTCGGTGAGTAGTAAGATATCATGGTCTTGAATCATGTTTAAGATGTTGATTTCTTCTTTTTTCCCTCTTATACTTCGAGCGTTCCATTGTAAGATTGTTATTAGTTTACTATTTTGGTGTCTATTCATTCTAGTGGTGTTGGTGGAGATGGAGGTTGTGATAGACCTGTGTCGAGAAGTTGTGAGTTTTGGATTGCTGCCGGGGGAAGCTGCTGTACGAGAGAAATTGGCTGGAGTTGCTGGGTAGCGTCAATGATGACCCAGGAGAGGCTTTGCGTTGTTTGGGTAAATTCCTTTATGATGTTTTGGTCTTGAGTATTCGTAACGAACGGGGTTAGTTTAGCCATGATGCCACTTACTTGTGTGAGGAGATTTTGCATGCTGGTTGCGAAGTGTTCTCTCTGGGTTTGGAGAGCTTCGATTTGCTGCTGTTGATGGTCTATTATTTTGGCGTATGTTTCGTCGCATTTACACTGACATTTATCGTTTGCCGGTGTTAAGTGTGTGTCCGGTATTTGTGGTTGGAGCTGTTGTTGTTTCCAAGGATTCATGGAGTTCTTTTTTGTTGATCTCAAATCTGGAAATTCTTGATGGTTTAGCGGGGAGGCTGACGATGAGGATGGTGGAGTAGAGTCCTGATGTTGAGTGAGTTGCTGGCGAGCGTCGTTAAAAGAGATGTTGTGCTTGGCTGCTTGCTTGTGTATTTCTCTTTCCATCTGTAGGCATGGGCACTGGTCTGACATTGACTCGTGACTCTGCCGACAGTTGATACAATTGGGGGGTTGGTCAGCTCGGGGACAGAGATCATCCACTGTGTGATCGCCTTTACCACAGTGCTTGCATGTTGTGGGGCTTCTGCAATTTTTTTGGTTGTGTCCAAATCTCAGACAGTTCATGCATCTCTTGACAGGAAGCACGTATGGTTGCACTTCAGTTTTGATTTTGTAGAGATATACATACTTGGGTCTAGTTTGCCCGTTGAAGGTGATGGTGACTGTTTTAGTTGGTTCGAAGGTTCTACCTTCTTCGCTGTGGATGGCTTTGTTGCATCTTCTAATGCTGTTGATGGTGACTTGGCCTGGGATTTCGATAGCTTCATAAATTTCTTCTACGGATAGTTCTTTGGGGACCCCATAGATTACTCCAGTAGTATATTTCCGGAAGGTCGGGACGAAAGCCGTGAGCTGCTTTGCTCCAAAGCTCGGGTGATTTATTAGTGAATTTGCTGTTTCGCTGTCCTTGAGGGTTATTGAGAGACCTTGACCTACTATCTTTGTTTCTATTATGGTGGACTGGATTTTTTGTTCAGTGAGAATGCCGAGAACTACCTTGCTCAGGTGGTAGGGGTGCATTCTGGTTCCAGTTTGTTTGTTGTTGGATTGAACTATAATCTGGTAGGGACCTAGATCATCACTGTTGTATCTAAGTAGTTCTTCCGGCATCGATTCCTGCTCAACTCTCTCTCCATCACTGATTTGCATGCTGTTGTCAGTCTCTTGATTAGCTGTGCCTTCCTTACCTTCCTCAGTGTTTACTTTCTTTGACTGAATGGAGTTGATGTTTTCTAGGCTGTCGGGCTTGTGTGGCCTTTTTCGGGTATCTTCTGGTGCAGCGTTGCTTTGTTGAGAAGTGTTTTTAAGGCTTGACTTAGAACTTTTGTTGGTGAATATTGGAATTGTTTTGTTGGTTTGGTGTGTTTTGGGTTTGAGGTTCAGACGGACATTTTTAAGACTGTTGTTTGAAGTTCCTGCAGGGATGGTTATCGGGTTCATTTTGGAAAGAGTTTGTTGTGCTTGGTTTTGGCGGGAAGATAGCGTTGGCGTGAGCAGACGCTGCTCTGCCATTTAATTTTTAGGTTATTTCGATATAAGTTGTCTGTTTCAATTTCCCTGTTGAATTTAAATTGTTGTTTAGTTTTAGAGCTGTTATCTTTTTTATTATTAGTAATTGTAAAGGTTTACAAGAGATAAGTTGTATTATTTCACTTTTTTATCGTAATTATTTCCGTGAGCCATGTACACTTTCGCGCGCTACTCGAGTTTGTCCCAAATGCAAGTATATAAAATGATGATCAACATCAACTGTCTTGTGTCTCGTGACTGAGTCGTTGAGAGATTATAATGCGGAGAAAAAAGTGGAGAGACAATAATTCCCCTCACCCTCCCTTGTAAAACATTCTACAGTGATACAAGTAAAACCAACCTCAATTATGACCTCAATTATAAAACAAAATATAATAATCACTTATGAACACACGTAATATCTAATTTATTTACAGTCGAGTCTCGTTATGATTCCTATAAATGTCTTTCTCATATTAACGTGAGTCTGGTTAAATAAAAAGAAAACAAATAGGATTCATAACGAGACTCTACTGCAATTGATTTTAAAAAATAATAATTAAATTTGCCTTAATAATTTATCTTAATTGACCTTGATAATTACTTTCTTTCTAAAGAATTTTTTAATATTTCGTTTTCGATATCTCACGAATGAATCAACCGATTTTGACCGGTCCAACGGTGATCGACGTGATTTTTTAAGGTTAAGAGCTGATTAGTTTTTGGAAGTGATCGGTGAAGCCATTTAAGAGACTTTTTGAAAAAATATTTTTTTTGAAATTTTCCATTTTTGATATCTCACGAACGAATCAACCGATTTTGATCGGTCCAACGGCGATCGACGTGGTTTTTCAAGGTTAAGGGCTGATTAGTTTTTGGAATCGATCGGTAAAGCCGTTTAAAAGTTATTCCAAAAAAACCATTTTTTGAAAATTTTGTTTTTGAGATTTCTAAAAATCTAGCGAACCGAATCGATTTAAATTTTCACAAAATTTAATGGCAATGATACTCTTTGGATTGTCTCCGATTTTGCTCCGATCGGCCAAGCTGTTCAAAAGTTATAAGAGGTTTACATACATACACACACTCACACACACACACATACATACAGCCGCACGGACACTATCGCGGGAATAGTCAGGGAAGCTTCTTAGGACCTCAAAACGTCGAGATCTGATGAAAACTCGATTTTCGAAAAACGGGATGAAAACAATAACTTCCCGATTTTTGAAAATTTTAAATTTTCTTAGCGAGAAGTTAAAAATAGTGTTTTATCAAACTTCTATCAAACTTTTGAGCTCGAAGAGCTCAAAAGCAACAAAAGCTATTTTTTGCGCTCGGAGAGCTCAAAATAGTACACAAATTGTATTTATGAGCTCGAACAGCTCTGAAACGTCATATGTGCAATTTCAAGCGTTTAGGTGTGGAATTGGCGGAAAGTTGCAGGAATGGTCTTGAGGGTCAACCGTATTCCTAATTTTTTTTTTAACTCTTTTCATCACGTTTTTTTTTTGTTTTCAGTTTAGTAGTCGAATGACTAGTACCAAAACAATATAATAAAATGAATTCTGTCGTAACACCGAAATAGGTTTTCATAAATTGATACCATTTTTTTTCGAGCTATTTAATATAGCAAACTTGTTATTGTTCTAAGAATACCTGTTTAATTTTAGAAAGCCATTTTTAAGGTTCTTTAAATATCCCACAATCATATGAATAATATGTTGCTTAAACTAATAAAATTGTATTTCCATCAATTTCAGGGCTTAAATGACGTTGCAATTGGTGTTTCAAGAGCGCTGAATCTCATCCATGCATTCTGCCATGCTTCAACACCACTCAATGATAATTCCACACGATGTATGTATCAAATTCGTTTAACATTTGGGCCAACCGGAAAAGCATCTGGAGCTGTTTTCTCTCTATATCAGTTGGAAAAATGGTGTATTTCGTTGTCTGATGAGTATGTTGATTTTTTTCTATAGCAGCGTAATACAGAATGGTGTAAAATTTCTTTTACATTAAGAAAATTTTGATGAAGACGTTGATCTGAGTATAAGATTCCTTTGTTACTTGTCAAGTCTTCGAATAGCTCACAATGATTAACCACTTTAATTGATCGATCAGATGCAACGATTGAATTTAAAAATAAACACAAAAGATGACATAAGATTGTCAATTTCTTAATTGTTAACAAAAAGTCATGTTTCAATTTGTTCATGAATTTAAAAAATTTCAAATCAATAGAAAATTTTTTACTATAAGATGCAACACAAAATCTACTTTTGTATAATTTAAATTAAATCTGTTGTGTTTATTTGTTTATGTAAAATTACAACTTAACATTAAGCACATTAAATAATTATAAAATGCTGGAATAGGATGTTGAACGAATTTTGCAGCTTCTTATTTCGTGTTTGGACTGTATATTGTAAAATGTATGGGTCATTCCATGTTAAATCGACCAATAGTTGGAATCGACCTCTTCCGATTTGGATAAAAGGGTGTAGCAGGATAAGTATTGTGAATCGGCCCCCAATGACTTCTATTCAAATTCATATTATAGTATCAACTCTATGTGCTTATACAAATTATATGAATTTTCCTGCTGTACTCCGCTTTAAACTAGAGATATGGTTGTATGTATGATTATCCGTCAAACAGCCATATTTCAAAAAATAATTGACCTAAAGAGATAAATCCAAAATGAGGTTGTAGGGGACGTAAAATAGTATATTCAATATTTTTTTGAGTTTATTTTAATAATTGCGAGCATCGATAATTAATAAATTAATATTTGATCGTTAATTTTTTTAGTGTTCTTGGTGACCTACAATCACCGAAAAAATATATGTTATAGTACTTGGCAAGCCTTACTTACTCATTAAAATTATATTGAAAAAAATTTGGTGCAACATGTCGAAAAAAAATAAAATTCGACGCACCTGTGTTTGACACCGAGGAATTTTGGAAGAAACGTAGCTTTTACTATCCAAAAATATTTTGTAGTCGTGTCATACACCAATTACAGTGGAAATTAGTTCATAAAATTAGTTCAATAATTTATAAATTAATTAATTAATCTAGTATTAATAAGCGGCCGCGCAGTATTTTTTAATTCTGAAAGGAAACCTTGAAAAAAAGATTTTTTTCGTCCTAGGCGGACGTATGGACGTTTTTACGTGCAGACGACAC